CACCACAACGCGCCCGTGTGCGCCTCTCCCAGCCAGCGCTCAGGCAACCTGCCAGCGCCACTAACAAGCAGTGTGGCCGCCCACTTGCCTCCAGCCAGAATGTCCCTGGCTGCCGTGCTCACTTTCCTTTATGGAAAGTGAGCCCTGCTTTGTCGAGCTCTGGGCGTGGCTGGACGAGCTTCCAGTAGCTTCCAGTTGGGCTCCAGTGTCTGCGCCCAGGCCCCCAGTTGCTGCTACGGGCCTGGGCCCTTTACAGTTGGGCACGCCCAGGTAGCCCACAAGGCTACAAGCGTTCGCTGCAGTCTCATTGGCTCGTGGCAGGTGTGTAACATTGATACTGCTTTCTCATTGGTCCGCGGCTGCCGTGTGATGTGTCGGCCTCTGGTTGCACAAGCCCATAGCCCCAACCGAATGTGCCCTGGGCTCAACTGCCCATGGCTGCTGCTGTTTCCGGAATGAGCCAGGGAAGGCTCACATTGCTCTGTAACGAACTGGCGTGACGTAACTGTCTGAAACCCCACCTGCAGAAATGGCAAAAGTTGGCCTCACACGAATACACAGGCCTGCCTTCACTTAGGGCAGGCACAAATCTTGCTGGGGGCTTGGCTGGGGCCTAACCCCAGAATGTGTGTGTGCCAAGTAGGGCCCCGCAAGGGCTCAATCCTCGCATTCACAAAGAGGCCACGTCGAAGATTCAGGCCCGCATATAGATTCCAACAGCCCTTTAGCGTGACACACTGGCCTGTACTCAGGCCTTGGCACATGTTTGCAAGACCGCCATCGCTTAGGGCAGGCAAGGCTTTTTCCAGCACTGCCGAGGTACTACGTTCCTCGCATTAATAAAGAAAAAACACGTCTTTTCTCTCTCTCCAATTCTTCTCTTCTTTTGTGTGTTTCTGGAGGCTCGCTTCTCATGCTGAGTGTATTTGAGTTGGTTTGAACTTGTCTACATCAGTGGGTTGTCTCATTTGAGCGCGTCATTGAAACTTGCATGATTTCATTGCGGAAGTTTCTCATCACGACTGCGTTCATTACAATTTATTTTAAACAACGAAAAAGACATTCACTGTCTACTGTCTCTTTTTTGCTAACCCTTCTGTCTCTTTGATTGCGGCCTCACCTCACCGGAAGAAAGCTTCCCATCAATCCCTTCTTTCTTTTTCTTTGTTTTTTTTCCCCAAACATCCACAGGGGCGACTACTGGGGGAGTAGTGAAGCTCTCCATCAATCCCCTCATGCTGCAGTGTGAAGTTGATACACCAAGAAAAAGTCTTCTTCAAGTTCTTCTGATTTGAAACTTAGAATACATGACAAAGGCGGTCAAAGATTGAAAAAAACATCAGGTAATTGCTCAAAGAGTCGAAGGGTTCAAATCTCCTTTCTGCCCTACCAAATTGAAGTTGATTGAACCCCCGTCATTTACATGATGGGTAATTCAACCGTACCTACATTCTTCACTATCACACTGAAGTTGATCTAACCCCTTTATGTACAAAGATGGATCAAAAGTTTGTGGTTCAAGAAGGGTTGAAAAGAAAAGTCCCAGTCCCATTTGGCTGAATGGTACACACATGTAACAAACAGATTGACGATTTGGAATCCCGACTGTGAAGCAGATGGACACAATCAGATTAGGGGTTACCCCCTTATAAAAATAAACAGAGGTTGAAAAGAAGTTGAAAAGTGAAACAAATTCAAATAATCAAAAGGGGATTACCTCCATGATCGACCGGCAGAGCAGGAAGGGGATCCAGTTCCACCATATCTTTTCCACCTTAGCAAGTAAGCATGGATCCCACCTTCAAGCCAGGTCAGCATTGAGCTTGTCATTCAGGATCTGCAAGACAAGGATTCAGGATGCTTCTGCCACGTGAGCTTGCTTATTGGGGTCCCTTCTCCCTTTCTCCCTAGCCACAGAAGTTGAGTGAAGCTACTCTCTCTCTCTCTCTCTCTCTCTCTCTCTCTCTCTCTCTCTCTCTCTCTCTCTCTCTCTCTCTCTCTC